TATACAGAGCAATATGCCATCAGCTATAGAGGAATACAAATCCCAGCAATACATTGTACACTGTATGCATAATATAATGCTGAGATTTGTTGTATTCCTATATAGCTGGTGGTATTCTGCATTGCGCTGTATAGGGGATTACAAATCACAGCAATAATACATTGTACAGTGCAATGCAGAATACTGCCAGCTATATTGTACTATTGCTGGGATTTGTTGTATTCCTCTATAGCTTGTGGTATTCTGCATTGCGCTGTATAATGTACTATTGCTCGGATTTGTAGTCCTCTATAGCCGGTGCCATTTTGCATTGATTGCTATATAATTTTACACTTTCCATTTCACTATATTGCACACCACACTTTATTTCCACCACTCCACGCTTGCTCCCGTGATGGACTACAATCTCAGTACAAACTAGTAGTCCATCACTGGAGCCATTTTTTTTATCCGATTAATCAAACTTAATAATAGGCTAACTAATTGATTTGTAAAATTATCGTTAGCTGCAGCTCTAGATGAATGGTCACCCTACACCAGGGATCCCCCCCACTAACAACCAAGGAGCCTCCACTGGCCCCCACAGGGGCCCACTAACCACCAGGGAGCTACCACAGAGCCTCCACTAATTATTAGGGAGCCCCCACAAATCCCGCACTGACCACCTGACAGTCCGCATTTGCCACCTGTGAGCCTAATTGGGGAGCCGCCTCTGCTGCACACACACATGCACCAGTGAAACTCTCTGGACCCCTGGTGAGAGCCCGCACAACCCTTCTGAGACCCTGGAGACATCAGGCGGCGAACCCAGAGCAACAGAGTATGTAGCTTCCTATTATTCTGCATTGCTGTAATATGTATCGCTGGGATTTATAGTCCTCTATAGCTGATGCTGTTCTGCATTGCTGTATAATGGTATTGCTGGGAATTGTAGTTCTCTATAGCTGTTGGTAGTCATTACTGCTGGGATTTATAGTCCTCTATAGCTGATGACATTCTGCATTGCTGTATAATGGTATTGCTGGGATCTATAATCCTCTATAGCTGATGGTATTCTGCATTGCTGTATAATGTTTTTGCTTGGAATTGTAGTCCTCTATAGCTGATGGCATTCTGCATTGTTGTGTAATGTATTGCTTGGAATTGTAGTTCTCTATAGCTGATGGTATTCTGCATTGTTGTGTAATGTATTGGTTGGAATTGTAGTTCTCTATAGCCAAGGCCATTTTGCAATGCTGTACAATGTATTTGTGGGATTTATAGTCCTCTATAGCTGGTGGTATTATTCTACATTGTTGTATAATGTGCTGAGATTTGTAGTCCCTCTACAGCTTGGAGTTAGTGGCAGAACTACCTGGGTCGCAGCAGTCGTACACGCGAACAGCACTGACAAGGCATCCCTCCACTACCAGTGTGCTATAATTTTCCTCAACCGATAAATTTCTGGACCGCGTCACTTCCAGGTGTGCATGTCATGAAGAAAGGGGGTCATGAAAACAGCTGATTCGAATGACTCGACCCCACTGGAAGTGACACAATCCAGAAAATGTATAGGATCGAGAAAAATTATAGAACACTGACTTTGAAACTATCCAGCCCCTCCCACTATCCTTCCGCAGCTCACAGCTTCTACAAAAAACAAAACTCATAAAGTTTAAAAACCCCTCCCACCCCCCTCGTCCCTCACTTTTTATTGTGTTTCCTACTTTGCAACTTTTGTTGTTTTCTTTCCTGACCGGATGACCATTTGGTCAGCGGTCCCCCACTGATACAGCCCTGCTGGGTTATGGTATATACAGTAGTATATTTAGGTTTTGTGCTGCCCTAGGCAAGGCTAAACTCGGTCATCCCCCATTTATATTTGCCTTACCCCTTCCTGTTTAAGACATTTGTCATAACCTGTCAGTTGCTAGATACAGCTTGCACACTGTATCCAGCTTCTGAGAGGTTGCGCTATTAGTGTAGCGGGGAAGGCCACTGCAAATTTTGATTACCCTGTCAGAAGTGGATACAGTGAGCCCGTTTAAATAGTAACAGGTGCTCGCTGTATCACTTCTGCCAGCGCCTCAGGTGGCCTGTGCAGGGTCTATGGTGCAGTAGATATGCCCCTCCACCTTCTCCCCTGTACACAGCAGTGTGTCCCCAGAGTACACCCCCCTCTGTACACACAGCAGAGTGCCTCAAGTATACAGCACACCCACCTCTGTGCACAGCAGAGTGCACTCAGTAAACAGTCAGGGCCGGCCTTTGGGGTGTTCGAGCTGTGGGGCTGCACAGGGCTCCATGGCAACAAGGACGCCAGGTGGCCGACACAGCTCGTCCTCGGGGCGGCTTCTCTCCTCCTCACCGCTCGCCATCCAATATGACAGCACTCCCTCCTCCCCCCGCCTGCATCAGCGCTGTCCTCGGTTCCGAGGAGAAACCGTCTGCTGAAGCCTGGGGGGGAGCGCTGCCTGCAGTCAGGATGGCCGAGCGGGGAGGAGAGAAACTGCTGTCCTCCTGTCACTTTCAGGATGGCAGCGACTGTGTGCGCGGCCGAGCGGAGGATCGTTAAATATCTGTCACATTTACTGATCCTCTGTGTGTGCGGAACAAACACTGGAGTGATCAACTGATCACTCCAATGTTTGTAAATAACTGGGGACACATACTACTATGTGCCCCAGTTATGAAGGAACAGGATGTGATTTACATCACTTCTTGTTCATTCATGAATTTTTGAATGGGGAGTAGCTATCACTACAGAGGCTCCTCCCCATTCATAAACTGGTGATAGTAAAATATTTTACTATCATCCATTTCTGAATGAATGGGAAGCCTCTGTACTGAGTGCTTCCCATTCATTGAGTGCTGAGGCTGCAGAAAAAGAAATTGAGGACTTTGTGTCCTCAGTTTCTTTTCTTTTTTAAAAGGGAAATGTCAGGGGTCTGTTTAGACCCCTAATATTTCCCCGAAGCCCCCCAACAGTAAAAACGTTAATTAAATAAAAATGTAAAAAATGATTTTAAAAAAGTGAAAATTACCCCCCACCATACACATATTATTAGACATGTGCAACAACTAAAAATTAATTTCAGATGAATAAAACGTTTTCATTCGTTTCATCTAACAAAACAAATTTTCATGCTATTTTGGATTCAGCCATTGGCGTGTTCTGGAGGCCGGGCGCATGACATCATATAACACTGCACGTGTTGGGCGCTAGGTATACACCAAGATGGCGGCGCCTGTATCGGCGTGTGACGTCACCTGTCGCCATGCATGCATGGCGTCATGTAACATCATGCTCCCCACCCCCAAGATGGCGGCACGCATTTGCAGAACGCGCCGGTGGCCAACATGGCCGCCGCACATTCTCAAATTATTATGTGCCTGAATAAATTTTTCACTAGGGGGTGAGTGCAAACAGAAACAAAAAGCTGTTTATTTACGGGGAGTTTGCCATCCGTCCATTTTTTCACAATGAGCGGACAGCAAGCAGTAAAGCAGCTTAAAGTGACGCCAAACTGGAGGATGGCTTCTTATGGGTGTTCCAAGCTCGCTCCCATCATAATGGATAATTATTTCAATACAAATTAGCAGGGCTTGAAAAATTTTAGGGTGTCTCACCAGTCAGTCAAAAATGTCATTAGTCAGCATGACTGGACTATAGCCTTGCAATTTATGTTAAAATTTTTTGGGGACAGATAGAGCTTTCTTTTGGAGGTATATAATCACCACTAGGGGGGAAGGGGGGTTAGTTTTTTTACTATATAATGAAAAAAGTACCGTAAATGTAAAAAAAATCAACAAAGTTTCCCTACGTTCTGTTATCAAACATTTATTCTTACCCATATTTTTGGTAAAACATAAAAGTCGGGATCACGTCGGGTAAATAGACACCAAACATGTCAAGCCTTAAAATTGCGTGCACAACTTTATTGCTATTACATGGGGGGATAAGAAGCCCCCTATGTGATAGCCAATTTACATGACAGGTCCTCTTTATGAAGACATCAGGCTTCATCAGCTTCTGTAGCTGGAGAGTGACACTGAATGCAGGAAGTGATGTAATATACATCACTTCCTGCATTCGGGGACTAAAAGAAGATCAAAGGGAGACTGTATACTGATCTCCCTTTGATCTATTGTCACAGAGCCGTGCCAGTCCCGGCCGCATCGGGCACAGCGGATCTCGGGACCGGCAACTGCAGTGACAGCTGCTAATACAAGCGATCGAGTGTCTCTAGAGACGCCCGATCGCTTGAATGTAAAGCTCCCGGCCGTGTAATTACAACGGCCGGCCGGGAAGGTGCTCGTCGGGCTCCACAGTCCTCTCGTCACAGACGAGCAGACGAGTGTATTTTTCAAGCCCTGCAAATTAGTAAACAAAATCACGGGAGCAAACCTGGAGCTGTGGCTACTTTACAACACACACAGGGACCATGGGGAACAACAGTAGCCACCCTCCAGAAGGTAAGACAGTGTCCGCACCAATTCAGAGATGATTTGAGGAGCTACAGCTGAATGATATACAAATAAGCTATATTTTTGATAATAGGGAAAAGGAATGCATTTTTAAGATTTAACTCACTTTAACACAAAATAGGAAAAGATCAATAACATGTACACAATGTCATACTTGAATACCCAGGTACAAGATTTTGGTATGCAAATGGCTGATAAAAAAAAAAAAAAAATCTCTTTGCAGTATAAGATTGCTTACGCGAAAGGTATTTCAGTCTTAGAAAAAAAACATATGAAAATGCCAGTATCTACAGACAAGCATAATCTCTGCTACAAGAAATGTGCTGGAAAAAGTCACAGAAAGTATACTTTCGTATGCCTGGCAGCTGAGAACTTTAGTGCAGTGGAAGATGATGGAAATAATAGACTGCCACATACACTTGGAGAGGAAATTACAAAGGCCTATCCAGTGATGTTTTATAATGGCCAATCATACACTTTGCATGCAAACCAATCACATGTTAGATTACATCTTAACTTGAGATGAACTGGTGCTGTACAGCTGGAGTTATTCTGTTAGAAACATTCGTGCTTTTCTGTGAGTGACACGGTTGTAGCCTAGAGCTCGGTGACTAGCAACACTGGATTCCTGTGCTCAGCCAGCGAAGCTGCAGTTCAACTGCAATGGAGCCTGTCATCAGGATTACATGCTTTGTGTTTTGCTTTACACTCCTAATACCAACAAATCCCCTTTACATCTCTAAAGACAAAGGTAGGTGAGCTATGAAAGACTGTTTTCGGTTAACTGTTCTAACAGTGATTATTGTTGGAATGCTCTGGGTATATCCATGCGTGCTTTTCATTTTTGTACTATGATGCTGTCAGATAGGGTGTGGACTATTTAATACACACCATCTGTGCACTGAGTACGTTATCTTAATGCTTTCAAAATTGCAGACTTGCACTAGAACGTAAACTTATTTTTGTAATCCTTTTTTTTTGTGATGGGGAGGAGGAGGAATCGGAGTAAATGTTGACAGATGTGCTTGTTTTCCTATTCTCGTATAAACTGGTAGAAAGCCACTAAAGACCGATTATTTCCAGGTCTTCTACACTGACAACTGTATTGGAGATCAGCGACAAGAAAGGCATTTTAAAAACACACAAGCTTGGTTCTAGATCTTGTAACACAAAGATGGAATAGAAACAAACTATGTACTGTGATTGTGTTTCCCTCTGTACACTGTGCAATGAATTGACTTACAACACGTTTATTCTGCAAGTTTTAACAAGTTCTATGATAAGTTAGTGTATTAAAGTTGTAATCTTAAAGGTTAGATGACAAAACCATGTTACTTGGAAAGTGCATAAGTCATAGCAGCAAATTAAACCGGGGTTTTAGAGATTTTTTATAAATTAAATAAATACACAGAGGTATATATTTTAAATGATTTGGTAGCTCATCTGCCTTTCTTTTATTCCAACATACAGTCACCAGCATTCATCGTATTTATAAAGCAGATTTGCCAGGTTAAAAATAAATTTTATGATGATATTTGACAACTTTTCAATTGGAAAAGGTTGCTTACTGTAACATTTCCCCTCTTTAATAAAGGGGAATGTAGATTCCCTTTTCATTCAGTTGACATACACTGAGCATTAATTTTCACCAAAGGCAGCTGTTTTTTACCACCCCCTCGCCTGCCCCTCCACATGGCGGAAACAGACACTTCGGGCAGTAACCCCATTGACCTTACAGTTCCCAAACAGCCTTCATTCTTACCAGGTTCAGTGCCACTGAGCATTCTCCGACAATGCGCCTGCCTGTGACACAGGAGCATCGGCTGGTTCAGGGAGCTCAGTAATCAGTAATCACCTGGGATGATAATTTTAACCAAAACCGTATTTAGCAGTGCTTCTCTTTGGTCAGTGCCGTCAGGTGACCGCGTTGACCAACGAGTGCTTGCAATTTGCGAGCGAAGTTCCGAATACATGGAACAGGTAAAGATAGTACACCCGTACTGGTGGACGGGAAGGACCGTTCGCCGAAAGGTAAGTATAGTGGGAGGGAGATTTGTGCCAAATTACTTGGGAAAGTGAATTTACCCTTTAGGGTTGGTGCAGGCTTGGGGATTCCAGGGACGTGTGATCGTGTGCAGTTGCATACAGCGGTTGCATCCGCATGTATGGGGTTACATCTGCATGGCAATCGCTGAAAAAAAGGTACGACATGCACCGCGCAGTGTTTTCAACCTTGATCGTGTGGGATCGCCCGGGCAGTATTGCAGCAGGAAAATGTGCAATCTGCCTGGCACGACTGGGGTGCAATTAGAAAATAATTGGTACTGAGAGCACGATCGGCGGTGGTGTGCAATTCCGTGACCACACAGCCATCCGCTCGGTTTCATGCACGATGACCAGGCAGTCACGGATCGCACACCACTGCCGATTGTGCTGTCAGTGCCATTATTTTCTAATGGCACCCGAGTCCTGCCAGGCAGATTGCGCGTTTTCCTGCTGCAATATCGACGTGCCGGTGCGGTTGCACACGATCGCAGTTGAAAACACTGCGCATTTATTCACATGCAGATGGGAGCAGGGGGGCTGATTTTAATTTTTTCAATTTTGATTTACTTTGTCAAATTTTTGTATTTGTTTTATTATTTTTACTTTATCGTCTTTTTTAAAAACATTTTTATTTAGCTACATTTTTTATATTTTTTACTGTGTGATAGCATTTAGAGGTGACAGGCTCTCTTTATTGACCCGGTCACCTCCAACACCAGAGTTCTAGCACAGCACTGTGCTAGAACTCCTGTGACAGGAACGAGCATCTCCATGCTCTGTCCCCGCCCCCGCTCTCAGCGCTCCACGCTCCGTCCATGCCCCCCGCTCTTGGCGCTCCACGCCCCCCGCTCGCAGCACCGCTCTCGGCACTCATTTAAGAAAAAAAAACAGTTTTCTTTTTCTTAAAAGAGTGAAAAAACCACCTGCCCAGCTCCCGGAACTACATGTCCCGGCGTCGGGCGATACGAATTCCACACCCCTGAGCACTCTATGATTAAACGCATGTTTACGTGAAACACGCTAGAGATGTTGATCCTATTAGGCAATGTTTTTGCACGTTTGTTCAGCGTTTATGCGCATTATGATGCGCGTTTGCACACGCGCATACATGTAGATGCATGTTTAAACACTCAAAAACATGCATGAAAAGGTGCAACATGCTTCTGCCGCACGTTTTTGGGTGTTTCTATTGAATTCTATGGGGCAAAAGTGTGCTTTTAACTGCCCAAAGAAGCTCATGTACCTTTTCAGACGTTTGGCGTTTTCCTTCTGGGATTTTTCTGCTCAGGTGTGAACAAGGGCCATCGAAAACCTTGGGATTTCTTGTGTTGGGCATTTAAAAGCGCTTTTCCAACTGCTCAAAAACTCCTAGGTGTGAACCAGGTGTAATAGACTTACCTCTAGCAGCTCGTTGGCGTCCCGGGATCTGTGGGGGTACCCCTCCTGTGACGTCACTCAGCTCCGCCTCACAAGCTGGCTTAAACTAGGAAATTCAATTGCTCGGCATCCAAGCATTGAGGCCGAAGCCGGGCAATTCCGTCTGCTCCCGATGTCTCCTGTCCTTCATATCTTAGCGGTCATACGCTGCTGCAGAGAGACACGTGTGGGTAAAGCTCCCTCTACCTGCTGCTGCTGTGGATCTCTGAAGATGTTTTTGAGACTCTGTAATCCTGTGTCTCCTTCATTAATCCAGCTCCCTGTACTGCAATAATCTGTCATGGCTGCACGGCTTCTCCTCTTTTCTCCCTCATCGATACCCAACATGTGTAGCGCATTCGTCGTTTTCATACGTAGGCGCACCCGACACGTGTTTATGTGAAGACACGTGGGGTGGGGGACTTTATTTTATTTAATGTTAAGTTTAAAATGATAGCAGATGGTGGTGACAGGTACTCTTTAAGGTGATGCTGGGGGTTCAAAAGACCCCCAGTGTCACCTTTACACTCTAAATAAGCTATTGAAGTGCAGATCGCACTAGACCTGCAACAGTTAATGGATTTAGTCGATTAAAATCGACGATTGAAAACGTTGTCAACGTTTTCGATCGTCGATTTGTCGGCGATCGATTGATTTGCCTGTTCGGACTCCACACGCGGCCTGAGCCACATGTCACACGCTGCGGCCGCCGTGCCCACCGCACAGGCCGCATAAGCCACGCCCACCGCACAGGAGGCTGAAGCCGCGCACACCGCTGCTCTCCTCCCCGCCGCGAGCTCCCTCACTCACCGCTGGCCCACCGACAATCGAGGGCCCGCCTTCTGAAAGTAAGTCAGTGGTGGTATAGATGTACGGAGGTGCAGTGTGGAATAGGTGTGCGGGGATATAGTGGTGGAATAGGTGTGCGGTGGTGGAATAGGTGTTTGGGGAGGTGCAGTGTGGACCAGGTGTATGGGTTTGAAGTGGTGGAATAGGTGTGTGGGGGTGCTGTGGTGGTACAGGTGTGCAGTGTGGAACAGCTGTGTGGGGAGGCAGTGGTGGAATAGGTGTATGGGGGTGCAGTGGTGGAATAGGTGTGCAGTGTGGAATAGGTGTTCGGGGGTGTGGTGATGGAAAAGGGGTATGGAGGTGCAGTGTGGAACAGGTGTATGGAGGTGCAGTGCGGAAGAGGTGTATGGGTGTGCAGTGTGGAACAATTGTATGGGTGTGCAGTGTGGAACAGTTGTATGGGTGTGCAGTGTGGGACAGTTGTATGGGTGTGCAGTGTGGGACAGTTGTATGGGTGTGAAGCGGTGGAACAGGTGTATGGGTGGGCAGTGGTGGAATAGTTGTGTGGGGGTGCCGTTGTGAAACAGGAGTACAGGGGTGCTGTGGTGGAACAGGTACGAGTTACGCTACGCACGCCGCGGACACCACGCCCACCACACAAGCCGGACACACACCCGCAGAGCACGCTGCGACTTACAAGGGTTCAGAAACAGGTAAGGGGGACCTGTTTTAATGTTTCCTGTTTATAAAAAAAAAAAAAAGCGGCACACTGTAGAACACCAGCAGCTATAGAGGAACACCCAATCCCAGCAATAATATATTAAACACCCTGTATAATGTATTATTGCTGGGATTTGTTGTTCCTCTATAGCTGGTATTCTCCGTTGTGCTGTATAATGTATTTTTGCTGGGATTTGTAGTTCCTCTGTAACTGGTCAGTGGTAATCTGCATTGCGCAGTATAATCATTATACAGCGCAATGGAGAATACCACTAGCTATAGAGGACTACAAATCCCCGCAATAATACATTATATACAACGCAATGCAGAATACCAGCAGTTACAGAGGACTACATATCCCAGCAATAGTACATTAAACAGCGCAATGCAGAATAACGCCATCTATAGAGGAATACATCAGATCCCAGCAATAATAAATTATATACATAATAGTATAGTATAATGTACTATTGATGGCATTTGTTGTATTCCTCTATAGCTGCTGGTATTCTGCATTGTGCCGTATAATCATTATACAGCACACTGCAGAATACCACCAGCTATAGAGGACTACAAATTCCAGCAATAATACATTATATACAGCGCAATGCGGAATAACGCCAGCTACAGAGGACTACAAATCCCAGCAATAATACATTATATACAGCGCAATGCAGAATAACGCCAGCTACAGAGGACTACAAATCCCAGCAATAGTACATTATAGCATAATGTACTATTGCTGCATTCCTCTATAGCTGCTGGTATTCTGCACTGCGC